AGGGCTGCAGAGATGTCGGCACAACCCACCTTCAAGATTGGAGTTCTTCATTCTGTGTCTCCTCTTTATTGAGTGTTGCACAGATACAAATATGTCCTTCTTTTGAAAAGGGACTGCCACTTTGGGTCTCCTGAGGTGCTTTTTCTATTGTTGACATACCTCATTCTTATTGAATATGGCACAAGGACTCACAACTAGATTGTAAAACTGAAAAATTAGTCAAACAAATAGGGCTAAAACACACAAAATTACCATATTGTTGCTTACCAAAAATAAAAATAAAAACAAAAATAAAATAAAATAAAGCAGGTTTTCAGCCCTGAAAAGAGCACAGACCTAAACCTTTCAGAAGCCAGGGCTGTGACATCATTTTGGAAGCTCTGCAGTTTCTGACATTTCTAGGCTTCTGGATGTCAGCACAACTGGATTACCCAGTGCCTGCAGGGGAAACAACTAGTGGTATGCCTAATTTAGCCACAGACTGGCAGAATACAAACACCTGTGCTGGTGCTTGGACCTTGTCAGCTTATCAAAGCATATGGGCCTACCTGCATGCAATGGCTTGACTCAACAGTCACTCACTCATGCACCTCTCTCTACTCTGTGCCTGGCTCACCCATAGTAGGAATAGTATATGGGCCTGCAGTTTGAGTTGTGGGTAACCTGCCAAATTGAATGAGTAAAATAAATTTAACAGCCATGAGAAATTTGAGCAATTGTGCCATCATACACAGAGATTTTTGGCTGGTGAATCAACACTCTAAAGGCTCTGTGACAAAAGTCACATGATCACCAGTGGCCAGTGGATTATTCAATTATGCTAATGTAATAGAGCCTCCATAAAAAACCCAAGAACAAGATTCAGGCAGCTTCTGAACAACTAAAAATGTAGAGTGTTCTAGAAAATTTTGTGCACATAATAGTAGACACCAATAATTTTAAACGTTATATATAGTTTAGATTTCTTTTCTTTGTTTTAAAAGAAGTTGTTAACTAGGTAAGAGCTAGACTTTTATGAAGAAAAAGAAAATCAATTGTTATCTTAGCATAAAGTGAAACATATGTTCAGTTTGGGCAAAAGAGCATCAGTAAATTTTGTGTTGAACATTTTTATCCTAAAATACAAGTCTTTTAATTTAGAATTTTATGTCTCTGCAGTATTTTTGTCACTGTAAAGTAAAAGTCATCATCTCAGATGTTTCTATGTCTCTATTTAGAGAAGAGAAGAAAAGGCTGCCTCATACCCCATTAGGCTCTGCATTCTAGGAGATAAAAATAAGAAGAATAAATATTTTTACAGATTTTTCTGTCACTCAATTCTAA